TCGTAAATGATTACCTGATTTTAAATAAATCAAACGCAATATTTTGAGTTAGTATCTTCTACCACAAAATTCACCGATAGTACTGTCTAATTATTAATTTTATTTTTTCCCCTAACATATTTAATAATGTCATAAAATATATATATATTGCATGTGTGTGTTTGTGTGATTTAGGACAAATTCTAAAAATGAATAGAATGAATACATGCACAATATTTACTGTGAATTTGTTTAAATAGTTTTAAATTAATTATATAACTAAATACTATTAATATACATTAAATATTTATCATTGTATAGATATATATACTTATATATAAAAAGAACACTATTTTTATAAGTATTATAAATAATAATAATAATAATAATAATGACATTATACGACAATAATTTTTTTTAATAATAGTTGGATATTATGATGAACAAAAAATAATAGAATTATTCTTTTTTCTACATCAAACAATAAATATAAATGTTAAAATATTATTTATTAGTAAAAACGATTAACAAGCTAATATATTGTATATAGTTTTAAACAAATGTTTTAAGAAATAAGTCTGCCGTCTATCGCACAGGATACTCACTAGTGTGAATTAACATGATCATCAAAATTATGTCTCTGAATATAATAATAATAATAATAATAATAATAATAATAATAATAATAATAGATAGGGAGCTCTACATTTGCCTAATAAGAAAGAACAAACACAAAGTCCCATGGGTTATAAATAAAGCAGGAACGAAATTTGAATCCTCAAATGGAGGGAGGGGGGCTCAGCTGTGACTGTGAATGCTTCTACTTTCTCTTGCTTCCTCCTTCGCCATATTGCTCGTTCCATTTCCTCAGCTCTACCAAACTCCTTGATTCGTACACAACCGAGGGGCCCACCTGCAAAATTATTCATACACAAGCATGCATGATATATATATAAATAACCGTACCGACTCGTGTTTATCCTCGACTAATAACAAATTATTAGTTGTTCATCAAAAACAATAATTTGCGTTAAGTGTATCAAGTGCTTAAAGTTTAGGCTGATCATATAGCTTTATATATCCTAACTTGTCAAACAAGCACACGCATATTTCTATAGTTTCAAATGAAGTAACGACATACCATGGCCTTGGAATTAATATAGTCGTCTAGCTTCAGTTGTCTTAATTCTGCAGTTCCATCTTTCTTGTCACCCTGTCAGTCGATAATAACCGCAAAATATATTTCAGGAAAAAATATACAAGTTCCCGCCTTTTGTCCTAAGGCAGTAACCATCATCTATACTATTATAAAAGAGCCAATGAATCTGTAAAAATATAATATCCCTAAATTAACCTTACTTTGTCATGTTTATAATGTCAATTTTGTAATTTAATACCCTCATTCTATACTAATATTTTTAATTAAACACATTCTAGATCTTGGGGTTTATGTATGTTGGTTTGGCCCAATTATCAATGTCGTCTATTTATCAAAATTTCTCCCTTTTAAATATCTTGTCACTCCCCATTTTCACTTTTTGTCTGGAACTTTTACATTTATTTAAATAAGATTTTCAATGATATTAAAATCTGAATAAACTTTCAAAAATTATCAAAATGTTAAATTTTACATTTATTTAAATAAGATTTTCAATGATATTAAAATTTGAACAAACTTTTAAAAATTATCAAAATGTTAAGTTAGTGTACAGAAAAAACAAAATTATGACATTACCTTACCAAATACTCATTTTTTTAAAATTTAGACAAGCAATGTATCTCAATACCCAAAAAAATAAAAATAAAAAAAAAATAAATAAATAAATAACGCGTTCAGTATGATAGATAAGGAAAAAACTAATAAAAAATATTATTGCTTCACATGAGCAATTGATTTTCAAGATGAGCGCTCTATAAACAATGATAATTCAAATTTTTGTATATTAAATATTTTATTTATTGACATTATTTTAAGATTTGTAAATATTTTTATGATTTTCTCAATAATTTTAAGAGTTTATTTAACCGTAAGTATATAAGATAAATTTCTTAGCAATATTTATTTAATTTTATAAGTTTATTAATAACAATTATGTTAGTATTAAATGTGACATGGAGGCCAAAACTAACGATAATTATACATAATATGAATGCTTAATTTAAATCAATTTTATGTCTTAAGCAAAAAATAAAAAAAAAAACAATACGATTTACCAAATAATTGCTTTAATGTTTTTAAATTATCTTTAAGACTATTGAAATCTATATCGAATTGTGTACCATATGTGTGTAATGGTTCATGAAAAATATAATAGTATTTGAATGAAAAAAAATTGAAATTCAACCAAAACTTGAATATTAATATATATTTATAACTCACGAAAATATATAATTAATAAGATCCAATGAAGAAAAAAAAAGCATACAAAAACTATTTTACTGGAAAAAGGAGAAGATAATATGAACAATATATAAAAACTTTGCTAACATATGGCAGTTGACTTATAACTGCTATATTTTATCAATAAAAATAATGACAAAGAATGGTCTCTTTCAACAAGATGAAGACAAAATTGTAAACTAACATATGCAATTATTCATGTCAAAGATTTTAATTTAGTTTTACTGTTCATATTTGTCAATCTTCCCCAAACAAAAAAGATTTCGAATAAAC